AAATACAAAATAACAACTTAATCATCTATTTTCAATCCAAATTATTTAATATTTAATTAACTACGTTAGGAACCATTAAATCTGGCATTATCATTGACTATTTATCATCATCTAAACAATTGGCATGGCCTTCTGCAATTGGTTATGTTTCCTAGTAGTTTCTTAGTCTTCTAGTTTCCTAATTGGATGTGGCATTACTTAAGCTGTTGGAGTATGCTTTAAGCAATTTCTGCTTTTGTAGGAAACACTTCTACATCTTGGCTATTCAACATTGTTGTTTGGCTCTTTGTTTATGTTGTATTATATGAATACAAATGTTTAATCACAAACAATGCAGAATTGTTGCCAAGATTATAAAATATCAAAGGCAGCCAATTGGGAAATTTTGATAGTGAATAAAAATGTAATTACCTGTATGGTAAACAAGAACAATAGAACAAGTGCATTCACAATTAGTAATAAATCTGGAGATGTTTACATTGGAATAGAAGATTATGTGAAAAATTGTGTTTTCTAATTTTTCTGATAACCAGTTTAAAATAGGTTTTAAATGTCACAATTGTCATTTGAGGTACAGTATGTAATATGCATATAATTTATGGTGGCAGCCATCTTAACTTCTGTCTTCAGCACTTGTGAACTAACACTACAGCAGCTAACTTAAAGTGGAAATAGTTTAACTGTCTTTTAACAAAGAGGCTTTAAGCAACTTAACTAGGAAACATGCCCATTAGGTGAAGACCTAGCCAACAGAAATATGTTTTGAAGTATTATTATTTAATTTTTGATTATAAAATTAAAGTAGGTACAAATTCTAAGTGTGATATTTTAAAATGACTAGAAGAAATGAAGATAAGTTAGATACAGAAACTTTTGTAAATAAGTATTATGATACAATATAATAATCCTTATTTACAAAATTAACTGAATTTGTCCAATAATGGTAATATATTACAGGATAAATTGGTAAAATATATTCTTCTAGTTACATCCTTGAGTTATCTTGATACTCAAAATATTTTATCTCAATATACAATATTACAATGAATATTTATAAAATTTAATATATTTTAACTTGCCTGTTTTTTCAATTTGACTTTCATCTCTTCTTTCGGGATTAAAATACGCTGAATTTCCATTGTTTTTATTGATATAAACATATTTATCCAAATTTAAATCTTTATGACACAGCCAATTTTTCTGTAAAGACTCTTCTACATTTTCACAATTTAAATCAGTACAACTTTCATCTGTAATACTTAAACCAATATCGTCATTGTGTTTATCACAACGAATTTTATTTGAATCATTTGTTGAAGATACAATAGTTGTCACTTCATGGGGAAAATTCTTATCAATTTGATTTTGCTTGTTCTTATAAGAATTTAATTTTTGATAATTCAAAGTTTTCGATAACAATTTCTTTCCTGATATAGATTTTGTTTGTGGTGTTAATTTTATATCATTAAAGCATATCTTAGTTACATTATTAGCATTTTTGATACAATTAGTCAAGTTAATATTTAATATATTCTCACCGAAATCAACACAAGTTTTTTTCACATTATCTGGTACTACTGTTTTATTCCTCTTCTCATCTTCTTTCAAATGCTTTAATTTATCATTAGAATCTGAAAAATCTCCTACGCAATCAACTTTTAATGTTTTGACATTCGTATTCCGTTTTGCACTTTCTTTGGTGTTCAAATTGTTTTTCTTAATATTTTCAGATAACTTTTTGAGTTTTATTAATTTATCATCATCATCATTATTATATTTTAATAAATGAAAAGTGCTTTTTTCATCCGATTTCTTTTTTAGTGATAACATAATTGAGTTATTACTATTACACAATTTATCCTCAATAGAACTTGATTTCTTACAATTATTCTTCTTTTTAAAATCTGCCAAAGTATGTCTTATGGCTTCACTATTTGAAGGATCAATACAAATTCTCTTTTTCTTCTTAGAATTTTCAAATGAAGAAATTTGAAACTGATTTATTGAATGAATTTTTGAATTTTCTTCCAATTTATTATTTTTAGAATCTCTTATATTATTTTCAGATTTATTTCCAACTGAATTATTATTATTTTCTTCTACTGATTCACTAAATAAAGGTCTTTTAGCTGCTAAAGAAAACAATGCATTTTTAGTGTTGTGGATATCAATATCCTTATCACAAAGTTCTTTTTCGTTAATTGGACTAAACAATTGATTACAACTGATTGATTTATCGGTTATTTCATTATCTATCAAAAATGCATAAACCGCTTCTTGAAGGCATTTTAAAACTTGTCTCCATTCTTTAAATTCGATCAGAGATTTCTGCGGTTCTAAACACAAATCATATTTATTGAATGGACATTTTATATTTAAAATAAATATTGCATGTTGATTGGAATTCTTCGAAGGACTATTTGAATTTGGGGTAGAGGAAGAAATGTCCTTACTTCCTCTGTGTTTAATCAAAAGATATTTTTTTAGTAATAAATTAGTAATTTTGTGAAGTTTTGTTTTTAAAACATGGCGATTATTTACATATATAAATTGATAATCTTTTGAGTGGTGAGAATCTAAACTAATGTAGCCTTTTATTTCGTATGGAGATAAAACACATTCAACTTTCTTCAAATTTTTTGCTTTCTTTTGTCCGTACAAAGTAATAAAGTTAGTCAAAATAGAGTTACTTTTGTGTGTTTGTAAAACAATTTCTTCTGTTATTTCATTTATAAGAACAAATGATATATTAGAATGAATTAAGGCTATGTTTGCAAGTTGATTCCGGCAATGCTCTAAGTCTAAAATGTTCGATATCATATTTTGTCTTACGGGCATATTATACATTAAATTAATGACGGAAACAATAGTTCCACTTTCTGATATTTTAGTCGAACATTTTGTCACACCTTCAGTCTTTCCTTTAACAAACAATTTACTGAAAGTATCAGAACAATTGGAACATTTTGAAACTATTTCAATTATTCCAGATACCTCTCTTAGACTTGCCAAAGCTTCACCTCTATATCCAAAATATTTCAAGTTGTTGAGATCTTTTAAATTATGGCATTTGCTGGTAAAATACCTATCAAAAAATGAAATAAAAATTAGCTTATGGGCATTCAAAATATAGTGTAAAAGTTAAATGTAACTTAAAATTAACTTTTAAACAAAAAATATAATGTAATTTACAGTAAAACTTCTCTAACTCAAATGTCTGTGACATGATCTTTCTTTAAGTTGAAAAAAACAAAACACTTGGTAGGTCTCAACAGAATAGTATAGGGATTTAACGACTTGAACTTCTTAACTCGAATTTTCTCCAAGTCAAAGTTTCTCACAGTCCCCCAACACCAATTTATGTTAATTTCAATTTCCCCAACTCAAATTTTAATATTTATTCTATCCAAAGTGATCCTAATTATCAGATTTCCATGAAATTTTCAGACAATTAGTCATATCTGCTCTCCAGCACCAATTTTCAGACAACATTCCAGTCCAAAGTGAGAAGTCCTCCCACTTTATCTCAACAAGACATACTTGCAAAACTGTTCAATTTCATTAATTACATTGAAAAGTTTGCTGAAAGTCATTATACAGGCTGTTTAAAACAAAAACTGTCAAAGATTCTTTATATAATGCAAGAGAGGTAATAATATAAATCTATTCAGAATCAGCATTTTTCACTCTATTGTTCTCTAATTCGAATCACCCGTAACTTGAAATTTTTCCTGCCCCTTGGAGCTTAGAATTAGAGTTTTACTGTATATTATTTATGATAATAGTGACAAACATTAATGATATAAATTAAAAAACAGAAATTGCAAAATATTAAGTTAATTTCTATAGTATCTTAGGATCTGTTTGGAAATGCTTACCAACAATAGTGCATTTAGAAATATGGGACCCCAAACTAATAGTGCCACTTTTGCACCACATGATTTTATTCCATAATTTTAATTCTGTAATAATTGTATTTTACTCAATTTTAAATATCAAAATGACAAAGTAAATTTGTTGTTTAGGATACCAATACAACAAAACAATTTTTGTTACATGGATTTAATCAAATATTTTTATAAAATTAATCAAACTAAAATTACAATGCAAAATAGTGAAGTTGTTAATACAATAGCACATATCACAAAAAATGACTTACACATTACTGATCTTATATACAGTACTTTGGGTAAAAGGTAATTTCCATGCATTGCTGGTGTTGCATCTAGCCATAATGGGTGTCAGAACAAAAGAGGGAAAACGGCACTGCTATTAAAATCCATCATTAGTACTGCCACTTTGTGCAAAACATATTCATACATTAATATTTCTCAACCAACATGTCTTATTTTGTATCTATTTAAGCTTTTAATTTGCACTAATTCTTTTATAAATTGTTTCTATGTAAAGATATTTTTTCATTATTTTATTGTTATTAACATATTCACAACCTTTTTAAATAAGCAACACATTTATTCTTCAATTCCACTCGAGCATATGTCCGTTATGTTCAAAAACCGATTCACGAGCCCGAGAGTTTGTTCAAAAACATTTGCAATTGAAGAATAAGCTTACTGCCAATTTAAAAATGAGATTGTGAGTATATTATTATTATTTTGAATTTTTGCATGCCCAAACTCTTTCATCTCTAGCCCTAGGCCTAGTAGGCGTAATGAGAAATGCACCATTTGGTCAGTTGGTAGTAATAAATATCATTATCAGTATTTTGTTGGTCACTTTCTAACCCTTTCACTCTTGAAGATTGACAAGTCTAGTAGCAACTAGTAAATCACAATTTATTTAATTTAATCAGCAATCATAATTTGTAAAGAGAAAAATATAGTTTATAAATTTAACTGTAATTGTGCTAATGCACACATGTATACAGGATATTTTGAAATGCATTGGCAAAAATTTAAGGGATGATAGAAAACATCTAAACAAGCAATTTTTACCATACAATGCATGTGCAGAGAGCAAGCAGTGAACCACTAAGAGGTATCAGTTACTGTCACATGAAAGAACAAAACACCAAATGGATAGAGGAGGTACTAAATAATTTTATTGACAGCATGTGTGGCAAAATTACAGAAACTGCTCAAAAGAGCGACCACCTGTGGTAATGCAGGTGTTACACCTGCAACATAGCGAGTGGTACTCTTTTTCAAACACACCTGGTATGTCTCGTACAGCACTGGCAGCAACAGAAATCCTGGCAATTAAGTCCTCATTGGAGTCGATGGGGCTTTTGTACACAAAACTTTTCAAATGGCCCCACAGAAAAAAGTCCAGACAGGAGAGATCGGGCAAGCATGTCAGCCAAGGTGTGGACCCACCCCAACCAATCCACCACCCTGGGAATTTAGCATCTAAAGTGCTCTGCACATCCAAGCTGAAATGGGGTGGTGCTCCTTGTGCTGGAACCACATACGTGCTTGTTGGCTGCAGCAGGTTGATGTAAGTCTGGCAATACCTGTTGTAAAAATGTGAGGTATGTTCTGCCATCCAGTCAGACTGGCAGAAGGTATGGACTGATCAAATGGTCACCCACAATTCCAGCCCACACATTTATGCCGAAGCACTTCTGATATGCACAAGGACGTGTGGCGTACGGATTGTTAGATGCCCGCACATGAAGGTTGTGCATATTAGAAATGCTTTCACAAGTAAAGGTGCATTCATCCATGAATAACACATGTGCACTAAAATTGAGCTGTGCTGCTAGCTAAAAACCAACATGCAAACTCGTCACATGGCGCATAATCTGCATGTATCAAGTCTTGCACTTTCTGTGCATGGTAGGGGTGTAATCCTTTGTCCCATAGTACTCGCCAAACAATTGAGTGGGGCACATCTATGGCATGGGAAACCTCTCACATGCTAATATCTGGACGATCTTCCACTCTTTGCAGAATTTCCTCTACAACTTGTGGCATCTGCACACTCCTGCCACACCCTGTATCATGCATGCTGGTGAGAAAGGATCCCGTTTCGCACAGCCACCGTTGCAATCGCTCAAACATTTTTCAGTCTGGCATGTGTCTTCTCGGGAAACGCTGCTTGTAGTCTTTTGGCTTCCAGAGCATTCCCATTCGCAAGACCATACATGAAATGCATGTCTGTCTTTTCCTGATTACTATACATCGCCATGTCTTCTGAAATCTACAGTAGAAATGACGATGTGTAAAAAAACTTGCATTTTATGGCTTCCATTACAGCACCGTCTAGCGGTTCACTGCTTGCTCTCTGCCCATGCATTGTATGGTGAAAATTGCTTGTTTATATGTTTTCTATCACCCCTTAAATTTTTGCCCATGAGTTTCAATACACCCTGTATAGGAAAAATTGGTAAAGAACTCAAAATTAGAATAAAAGAACATATTGCTGCAATAAAGTATAATAATGAATCCTCAGTAGTTGCAGAATATTGCAATAACAACAATTGCAAAATTGTTAAAAATTCCATTAAAATAATTAAAAAACAAAAAATTGGTTTAAAAGAAGAAGACTATAAACATGTGGAGTGTCAAGAACTGTGTTCACTATAGAAACTAAGCAAGAGATAATGGCCAACAAAGAGAGTGAGTGATGTTGCCAGGCAGTATGGCTTCAACAAGTCTACAGTAAGCACAATCTTAGCTAAAAAAGATATAATCAAAAAGACTCAAGCAGATAAAGGTGTAACAAAAATCACATCTAAGAAACAAAGATATGCCATCAATGAAAAAATGGAGAGATTGCTTTTAGTTTGTTATTATATGTAAATAAACGTGTAGTAAGAAAGTATATAATTTTTAATTTATTTTTTGGGGTCTCTAGAACATAAAAATCTATGGTAAATCGATAATTAGATAATGAACAATTTAGGTAGTGAACATTGTCTTGGAATGTTCATTAACCAATCACCCACTGTACACAGTTCTTGGTACAGTTAAACATTAAAGGAGGATATACAATTAAGTGAATGTAAAAACAAGGGTAAAAGGAAATGGGGGTTGAAAAATGTTCTTTGGAACTGGAGATGATTGAAAGTGGAAATGTAGTTCTAGTGTTGTTAACATCTGCGGTTGTACGGTAAAAAAAGTTAATGATTATTTTTCAAAAATCGATGAGGTAGTCATCATCAAAATGTATAAGTGAAATTATTATCTACATATGTATATTCATGTGTCTAAAAAGATGTACAATTACTTACGATGGGGTAACCTGTATAGGGGCTGACAAGAGACAAGGTCCGAAATGCATTTCCCAGTTAATATAAACCAATAAATGATTTCCTAATTGAACTATATTTCCTATTCTGTGTGCAAGTCTGGTATTACAACGTATTTTGATGGCCATTAATAAGACTAACTAGTAAATCACCCAAAACTATATACCTAATGTTTTTGAACGATGCTGTCTCGGTGGTTGAACTGGCAAGCATTTCCGAACAGATCCTTAATTTAATTATCTTCATTAATGGTCACTGTGGCCAAAAACATGGCCTCAGTAATGATTTAGCATTTCATTTGTAACAATTCATAAAACAATACTTATTCCTACATTTTTGCAAGGTTATTGAAAATAGTTGCAATTCATGATTTAAAATGTTTCATCATAAACATACTAGAAAACACAATAATTTCAAAAGCTATCTTGCTTTTCTTACAGTTAAAATGTTTTTAATTTCATATTATTTTTAAAGTAATGTGGCCCATTTTACTTTTACTTTTGAAGTAGGAGAAAAACTTGATTTCATTACACAATTTACTATTTCAAGCGTTTGGTGATTGACCACGTCTGGTACACTGTAAAGCTGACAAAGCACGTCAATCTCGGTGCATCGTGTCCATTGTTAAGCGTAGAGATTCCGACACGATATGTGTCTCCAGGAAAGATTACTAGTAAACGTGTTTTGTTATTGGCAACACAAAACCAAACAATTTGATCACATTCTTCAGAAAGAAGTGTGTTAATTGCAAGGTGTCATTTTGGAGAGGCATCTTGAATTTTTTAATGACATTTGATCATCTGCCATACTATGAGAATAGTTTCAAAGAAAGTCCATAAATCACAGAATTTTGTAGATACAAGTATACCTCGCCGTACATCAGTAATTGGTTCCAGGAGAGGCGACTTAAGTCGAATTTACTGGTCACTAGGCAAAACCACAAATACCATTCCCAGTTCTGTATTTTATGTATAAATGCATTTTTAATAATATATGATTAATAAGAATATATTTTAATTAAGCTTACAAACAAATAAATTTTAGTTTTTAATATAGTACATGAAAAAAAGTAATCTAAATTTACAAATATATGTACAGTACGTATACATACTTGTAAGTATACATGTTTACAATTTGGCGATGTTTACAGTACATCGCGGACTCTTTATTTGTGAATGTGGTTTGCTCTAAGACATTATAATCTTCACGCAACTTCACGCTGACCACAGTCCCCACCATCAAAATAACTCAAATTTACTCCTCTTTATTCGACACCACACTTCAACCCAAAAAAACAAAACAAAGATCGACCCAACTCCTATGCTTCCAGACTTACAGGATGGATAAAGAAGAAATTAATAGGTTAAAGTCCAGATACGTATACCGTCATGGCGGGTGATTCCAGCAAACAGTGGGGACGCACGTTCTAACCTAACCTATTCTAATAATTTGGTTGGTAATAATTATGGTAATTTATTAGAATAGGTTAGGTTAGGTTAGAACGTGTGTCCCCACTGTTTCCTTTCTTTTGTTTGCTGGAATCAGAGATGAGCTGCCATGAAGGTACACGCATCTGGACTTTAACCAATTAATATCATAATGATTGTCGAATTCATTTTAAAGTTAGCCACACATTTAACTGATATTGAGGATTTCACAAGGAAACATCTATTAACAACTTTATACCTTTCTCCTATGAATTGCAGCTGATCAGAAGGAATGCCCTTTCCATTATCTTTGACTGATATCCTGTGAGAAGATAAATCTAGACGAACGCAAACATTCGTAGCAAAAGCATCGATGGCATTCAACACCAATTCGTTCAAGCACTGGCCGAAGCTCGTAATTGCTATTCCCGAACGGATTTTGCAAACAACTTCGGAAGGCAGAGGCAATACACTCATCTTTATACTCCCATTAACCAATAATAATAATATATCTCGAAGTCAATGTTACGCAACGTACATTTTCCATTTTAGATTTCAGGGCAGAAGAAAATAAACCGGGTAATTCTACACAAATGATGCACGAACCGGACATTTCATAAACGCACACGTGCCATTTCGTTTTGTTCATGTTATAACGCAGACACAGAGCACGACTCCATCACGTCGATTTAAGCTTACTTCTCGAATTATCCGCTAGAGGTTACTTCTCTGTTTTGTCGTGCTTCTCCTTGTCGACTTTTTATCTCGCTATTTTACTTATCGTTTCAAATTATAACGTTACATATTCTTAATTAAAAATGTAGAATTGTTAATTCTACGTTTTACTGGAAAAATAAAAGTATTCCCCTCAATAAAATGCAAAATTGTTTAAAAGGTTAAGACAGTGCACAGTTTTACGTCAAAATGACGTCATTCTGAAAAATTCATTCTTGTAAAATTGAAGAGATGACGTCAAAATGACGTAAAATAGGGCCCATCCGTTAATCACCTGTACAGTTAGGCGGTGGTGAAAAGTACATCATTGTACACTACGGAGAGGGAATAAAATGTAATTTGGACTTTCGCTTGAAAATTTATCTAATCACTTTGATGCCGAAATTTATTTACGATTCCGAAATAATATAAAATTTACCATTCGTCCAATATTCCAAGTCTAATAACAAAACTTTNAAATGACGTCATTCTGAAAAAATCATTCTTGTAAAATTGAAGAGATGACGTCAAAATGACGTAAAATAGGGCCCATCCGTTAATCACCTGTACAGTTTAGGCGGTGGTGAATAGTACATCATTGTACACTACGGAGAGAGAATAAAATGTAATTTGGACTTTCGCTTGAAAATTTATTTAATCACTTTGATGCCGAAATTTATTTGCGATTCCGAAATAATATAAAATTTACCATTCGTCCAATATTCCAAGTCTAATAACAAAACTTTATATTTGCGCATGCTCGAATGGATTTTGTTAATGTCGTCTGCTACAAATCTTCCGCGCGAAAATTTTACTTTCTTTGCGTACTGGCATACAAAAAAAAAAAACAAAATTTTGTAAATATTCTGGAATCCTTTTATTTAAATAAAACAAAATTCAGATGTACAGTACTCAAGTGCTTGATGTTTATATACCTATTTTGGAGAGAAAGAACTCCAATTAGATTCTTGAAAATAT